AAAAAGAGATCGGTAAAATGTGAAAACAATACATCGATAAAACGCTCTCACTCATGTACTGTAAATAAGACTTCAGTGCTTATTTGGTTACTTTATCGATGAGGGTATAGAGGAAAGGATTGATAGAGGAATTAATGGGCAGAACAAAGACCACCAACCAAGCGTAGATATTGGATGAGAGAGTGATGACACCAGCCTGGATGAAGATCCCCATGATAATGATAGGCATCCAGCAAAAGAAGTCGGTCCCAACGATGAAAAACAGCTTGCGCGCCATCTTGATCTCAGTGGCCGACTTCTTTCCTGCCGCCTTCCTGCTCAAGCGAACGCTGAAGAAAATGGCGACGTAGCAGCAGATGATGACCAGGAAACTGACGAGGTTCACTCCCAGGTAGATGGCAATGGAGAACTGCCAGGTGGGGGACGTTCCAGAGGCAAGAAAGTTGAAGGTGGTGACACCGTAGCGAGTCAAAGTGTAGCTGTCCACCTCCGAGTATACCGAGGAGAACTTCCGGATGAGCGGAAGTCCCACGCAGACATCACTCAGGCCGTGTGCGTCAGATTCCAGCTGGTTTAAGAGGAGAGAGCCAACACTGAGAATCAATGCAAGAAGCCACGCAATCGCCGCAAATACACGGGAGGACTTGACACCCAGACGATTCTGACTAAACGGGAACTGGATGGCGATGAAGCGATCAACGCTGATCAAGGTCAACAAGAAAACCGATGCCTCGGTGCTGAGGAACGAGACAAACCCAGCGATTTGACAAGCATTGCTGGTTCGCCACTCGTTCCCGATGCCATCCCAGAAGTACGCTTCACCAATGTACAGATCCATGACAGCAATGATCAACATGTATATACCCATCAAGAAATCCGACACTGCCAGATTGTTGATCAAGGTGGATTGAACAGCACCAGTGGGTGTTTTCGGTTTATCCCGCAATCTTGTGAAGATGACATACCCATTACCAAGCAAACCACTGATGCTAAGGATCCAGATGAACACTTTGATGGTCATATTTTGGAGGAATGTCCTTCGACACGTGAAGAGCGGATGTGGCAGTTCTCGTGTTATACACCCGAAGCTTTCTGGAACGATGCAACACACTCGTTCGTCTCGAACAACTCTGTAAAAGACAGACGAGATGACTATTACACACTGAAGCTTTAATTTTCACTGAAATAGTTGCAAAATATGACTACTAGTCTCACTGCACAATTTACGAAATGTGCTGTAACATCAGACTGTAATAAGTGAATTGTAAAGTGACGCATCGACAATTTTAGTCACTGTTAATTAAAAATTAGTATGGTCTTATATTTGGCTTTCTGATCATTATTGCGTTTTACTCTGATGTGTGCAAGACGACAAAGGGCTTATACCTTCATTTTACTACAAGTTATTTAAAATCATATTTAATATTATTCTTCCATAATTATGTAAATGCCCGCTTATTTGTAAACAACATGATAAAAGAATGCAACTTTGCTTTGATCATGCTATCATAAGGATGGACACTGTCTTGTACATCCGTCGGACACGAGGCGTCATTTCTCTTGTGATATAACCTTCACCAATCAGAGCAGTGAAGGCAGTAATTGCAATGAATGCACCATTCATCCTGTCCTAACTGTTTGCTTGTGAAGAAGTGTCGTGGTATAGTGGATAAGTCGCCGTCCTGTACTTAATAAATGTCCTTTGGCAAGAGATTAATCTACATTTGCCACTGTCCACCCAGTTGTTAAATGGGTACCCGATGGGAAAGTTACTGTGGTTGGATTGTCATGTGTGCGCTTGTAAAATGGTGCCTGACCGAAATAGTCCCCAGGGAGCGGAACGAGTGCTTTATCATGTTGCGGATTAGCAATTGAATACAATGACCGGGGTAATAACAATTATAAATTAAAGTGCTTAGAAACGTTGTTTGATACTTTTTTCATTGTTACTATTATTGCTATTATCATTATTATTATCATTATTACCATTATCATTATTAGCATTATTATAGCAGTATTATTAATATCCTGATCATTGTTTTTGTTATCTCATTAAAAAAAAAATTGCTATTATTATTATTATTATCATTATTATCATCATTATTATTATAATTATTATTATTAATATTAGCATTATTATTATTATTATTATTATTATTATTATTATTATTATTATTATTATCATCATTATCATTAGTATCTGTTAATTACTGGCACATGGATAATTGAATTTTCACCCAGTCACTGACGTGGTATTAAAGGTAATACAAAGTTTTGGTATGGGGTCATGAATTTGGTTCAAATAAGTCATGTTGGAAGCATGTACAATCCTACAATCTTCAGTGATCGTTGTCGCGGTTGAAATCGAATCTAAAGTTATGAAATTGTAAATATTACACTCTTTATGTTGTATAGCTCCCTCTCAAGGTCAAGATATTACTTAAGCTATGAAACAATGTTTCTTGACTAAAATAGACCCATTAGCTATTACTGTTTGGAAATTATATATTACAACTACAATATTCTGATATTTTCATGGTCGTAGCTACCATTATACGGCCGTAGGAGCTATTTGAAATGTATCTAAATTTACCGGGAGCACCGGTAAATCTTTATATTTAATTTTTCTCAAAAGCAGAAGTGTTTAAGGGGCTAAATTTTCTAGTGCTTATAATACATCCACAGGGGCATCCAAATATATCAAAATTGTAAAGAATCACTATCCATCCAATTTTCAAAATTTCCCAAAACTTTGTATTACCTTTAGAGTACAAGTCCACTCCAAAAATAACTTACTTTCAAAAGAAGCAGACAAATCAGACAAACCAGTCAAAAGAAGTTTGAGCAAAATCGGATAACTAATAAGAAAGTTATGAACTTTTGAAAAAAATATATAAAACTATGGAACAAGTGAAATCACTACACAAATTGCTAATTTAGTTATCAGTTTGTAACGTAATGTCCTCACTATATATCAATTGCTTTATATAGTTTAATCCCATTAATTTCCCTTTTTAATCCCCCAAAACTTTATTAACCCATGTCTTTGCCCAGGTTATATGATTTTTATGATATTGCGTAAATGACATTTCACAAGATCTTTTATGAACTTTGAAGAATTGATACTTTTTCTGAATATTGCGTATTCATAATTATTGATTTGTTATCAAAATTCACATTTTTCATGATTTAACTGAAAAAAATTACCCTATATTATTGCATCCACACAAAAACATATTACTATCAATCTAACTTGGATGCTGGTGGGAGGAAATACGATTCTTGGGGATACCCCCTTCCCTCTCCCACACTGAGCGAAATATCGGTCGGCTCGATTTTCAATTTTGAAATACCCTCCCGGAAAAATTCCTGCGTACGCCACTGCGAGGGCATCATACTTCATTGAAGTCACGCGGATCGGAACAGGATAACACTGAAAGAATCGAACAAGAACAAGTCGGTGCTAACTTCAAAACATGTAAAATGAACTCGGGATTCTGATAGCTGTATGTCTATACTTACAATAACTCAATTTTAGAAGGGCCAACAAATGTATCTGGCTGAAGGCGAATTCTGTCAGAAGAAAGAAGTCGCCTGAAAATAAAGCAAGAAAAGTATGATAAAGAGTTATATTCGAGGGCTTATATTGTAGGGAAACCTTCGTCACAAGTTTGCAGTTTGTTTAAACGATGATTTAATTAACATTCAGATACTATTTCGCTTCTTCAAAAGAATTCCCGTCCTTTCAAATAAAACAACAACCTGCATTTCAACGCTGTCATCACGTTACACATACAATTAATGCTAGCAGCTGACATACATTAGATTTGTTTCTATAGCGTTGTTAATATTTTCATGGCTTTTAAATAAAGGAGATGGATACCCCCGTGCACACTTGGCCATCGAGACTATAGACAACAAAAATGCTTTCCTATTTCAAAATATAACCTGTGACAGTATATATAAGCTTACGATATTTTTCCGAATTTCTCATTAATTTTCCAGCATGTGCTCTAACGTAACCTATCGACAACCATTTCGGCGGATATGCCGACATCAATACATGTCACATCATCCTCTCTGGCTAGCAATTCAGTGGCGATTTAATTATTATTATTATTTTTATCAGATGGTGTCCCCCTTTTGCAAAAACCCTGGATCCGTCATTTAGAAACTCCCTTGTGTTCATTTAGATGACCCAAAATACTCACACATCCCTCAACGTAGGCACACCATTCAGAGCACCAGGTTCAATGGTAGTGATGGGATTTCCTTGGAACGACCTGGGGAGAAAAAAGTACACGTGGTAAAAATCCTTTTTTTTTGTTGGTGATCCGACATTTGCCTCAGTGACAATTGCTCCATAATATAGTCCTTCAAAAGTTTAGAGGTAAACAGGCTGCGATTTTTTTTTTTTGGTTTTGTTTGGGGGGAGATGTTAGGTAAAGGGTTGCGTTTAGAGTTAGGGTCCAGTTTGTTCGTTCGTACGTAGAATATCAAGGAGTACATCATCCAGATATAGGAAGATCCTTATTTAGCCAACTGAATGTCCCATCATCGAGCTCTCGAAGTCCAGAAGCACCGTGAAGGGATTTGTAGATATACGACAAGCATTGATTACGTGATTCATAGTTTGGATCTTTCTACAGGCACAGTTTGGCGATGGATCAGCTCCAATTGTATGCATTAAATCTAGTTCAGCGACTGAAGTTAGAAACTTGTTAATTGTAGAAAATTTAATGCAAAGAAATAATATTTTTCAGTAGAATTAATTATGTTGTAGAATCTATTAATAACCACAATGATTTACAAATGAAATCATGGCGGATCGTTCAACAGTGAAGGATTAAGACAAAGTGACCGCCAGACTGCTAGAGTGTATGTGCAGACCGTTTTAGTGGGAGAGAGCGAGGGTGAGGGAGAGAGATAGAGAGAGAGAGAGAGAGAGAGGCGGAGCAAAGCTCCTAAATATCTGGACTGCCACTCTTTACTTACGCTATGTCAAGCTTATTGAGCCCGTAGAAAATAGATGCATTAATAGACGTCAATCGATTATGGGTGATAATCCTATATAAAATGAGATAAAAGATACAAATGAAATCAATTATTTATTGATTTAACCCTAATAAGGCTGGGGGAGGCATTATTCCTCCCCCCCCCCCCTCCACGATTTGTTCCGATTGCTCGGGAGCGCATATGGATGGCGCCCCGCCGCTCGCTGACCTTTTTTTTTCGAGTCTTGCGCTTGTTTGAAACAAACAAAAAATTGAAAATCGGACCTACAGTTACAAGGTCATGTGACCTTTTGTCTTTGCATGTCAGCCCGAAAATCGCTCATTTTTGTGATTTGTGAACAAAACATATGGAAATGTCATTTTTCCTTAAAATAGATTTAACATTTGTTATTGGGTCTTGTTTAAAGTTTAGGTGGTTGTTTCGGGAGTCAAAATAGTTGAATTGTAGTAAGAAATGAAATAAAACAACAAAAACAATAAAATACATGAGTTAAAAAACAATGTCAAACAAAAGAAATTATCAAAACAAGAGATAACATAAGGAATAAGCTGGCTCTTCTAAATTTTTGTTGTCATATTTTTATTCCAAATGTCTAATGAATATATGTAGTGAAAAGAATGCTTAAATATGAATAATATATGATTTATGGGTAAAAATGTAATTTTATGACCTTATTTGCATAAATTACCATAAATATGCAAATAAGTCGATTTTTCAAAAAAATTGAAATTTTCATATTATTTTATACACTTCACTTGACATGCGTGCAAATTTTCGCGGAGATCGGCCACTTCACGGCCGAGATCTTAAGGGGGGCCATAATGCCACCCCCTCCCCTCCGGCCGTACTAAGACCTCAAATAGCCCGGTCTTTTTAGGGTAAAGACAAATATCGAAGAAATTTAAAGATTGATTGTCATAATTGCTGGTTGATCAACCAAAAAAGAGGGGGACAAAATCATTGATTTAACAAATTAACTACTGTAGAAACAGGCCTTCTGCATTATTAAACGGTATTAGTATCAAGAGGCTCCAACTTTACCTATAGCACTGTCGAACAGAGATTTCAGAGACGAAGGCAGAGGTTTCTTTTTTTCGAAAATCAATTTAACTTACATTAAGTGGTTGCATTATTCAGTTAGATTCCAAGAGCGTCAAGTACTGCGCCTTGATAAATTATGTGCAAACCAACACGACTATATTTAGAATAAGAATCACTGCATGCATGTGGTACAGTGGTACAGTATCTTGACTTCCGCGCAAGACAAGATGGTTCGATTATATTCTTAAACAAGGTGTTTTCTCCATATTTATCCCACTCGACCCTTGCCGGTGAAGTTGGAAATTAATGCTGAGGTAATGAATGAAAGGCCCTCAGGGATAGCAGGAGTAATACCTATGAGGCCATCCTGGATAGACAAGACCTTACTATAAATAAATAAATACTATAAATAGTTGGTAAATCAATTCTTTCCTATTATCATTCGTGATTCGAAGTATACAGTTTCTCAGAACTTTGTCCATCAAGAATAAATCATATTGTCACATTTCATATTTCATTAAAAAAAGGTAAGAGCAAATATATGGCAACAGCGTAGTAGTATATTAACATTAATATAATCATACATGTCAAATAAATATTAATGATGAAGCTTACAAACGTTCCAATGTCTGCCCCACATCAAAAAATGCACCGGATGGGATAGTTGTCAAATCATTAAATTCGAAATTTCTGAAAGAGAATTAATAATGTAGTCATGGTAATACATTTGAGAACAGTTCATATATACAAATGTAGCACATTAATAGTAATACCCGTTTTTAGTTATAAAGTTGTACATATCATATAGACAATTAGAATGATACAGCATCATACATTCCAAGAAGCAAAAGAAACACGATTACAAAAAAAACATACACACAAACAATAACAGGGAAATTGAAAATAAAGTTACTAATTTGTGGATTGGATACGTATTGAAAACTGTCAACTGCAGGTTATTCGGCAAATAATTGAAGTAATGAATTGTGAATCTTATTCGTACAAAGAACATGGCGATGAGATAATTTATATTCAACTTATCAATCATACTTCGCAAGCATTCTGCAAAAATACACTGGATTAGGTAATTATGTTAATTTTATTAATTGCATTGAAGGGCGTTCTATTTTGTGTGATGTACAAATTACTTTATTCTTTTTCTAAATCTCGTTCCGGCATAGTGAAGACTGAAGAAAAGCCAGAGGGTGCAATAATATTTTACCGTGCATAAATACAATATCAATGAAATTAAGAAGGTACAGAATTCTGAAAGCCTACAAGTGCCTGTGTTGACTACGCCTTTATTGTTGCCAGTTGAAAATATGGTTATCTTTTTTTTTACATGAATGATATATACCTGTCTCTAAAGTATCGGCCTACTTACATGATGAAAAGGCTCTGAAGACCTCTAAAGCAGCCTTCGTACAATCGAGTAATCTTGTTGAAATCCAAATTTCTACATGATGGTAAAAATAGACAGTAAAAACATTACCTTTTCATTTATTGTTAAGTAGTTTTTTTTCTTCTCGAAGAGAGTTCTGAGACACATCAACATTTATTACCTGTGTCACGATTTCGGTGTTTTCTATGGTTTAAGTCCAGACATCTTTCTCAAAAGTATTCTGGCAGACTGAAGATAGATGCTAGTTATTTTCGTGCCGTTTTGTCGATCGCCATGTCGCGTCAGGTAGCTTCAGTCTGTCAGTGCATGTCTGATAAAGGTGTCATTGCTTGGTCATAACAAATGTCACACAGGTAATTAAATATCGTTGTGTCATGGAACTTTTTTCAATATTATCTTACAGCCCGTCTGCACTAGTTAGACCACCCTGCTGGTGACTGACAGGTGGTTATCTTATCAACTCAGCTCTCAATTAACATAAGAAAAAGAGGATCACCGGGACCAACGGGCATCGCTAGGGCATTGTTTTCTATATAGATGGAGCAAGTAGCTACAAGTAGCGCAGTGGGGCTTTAACCATAATATACTGATGCAATTATTAAGTAGCATATAAATATATTATTCTCGTTTGCGAATTGTTATGTATACCTGGAACGATTTATTGTTTTCTGAAATACAATTTTTTTTTTTATTATCTCGTGACACTTTCGCCCACTATCTTTCCAGGGCAAGTTTTCATCGACAAACGTGACAAAATTAATATGATATTTTGTAGACTTACAATCGGCCTAAATTACGAAGAACTTCGAATGTTCCATTTTCAAGAACAGTCAGGCTATTGTGACTAAGCGCCCTGTAATATAAGAAAACATAACATTAAAAGATCCACTTATAGCAGAGTAAAGGGAACGCTTTTCAGTCAAATTCAGAATTATGAATGAGACCTTGAATATTCAAAGATCAATTTCTTCTCATAGTGAACTGCTGATTGTCGTGTAATTATATACTATCACTCAAAGCTCGGTATTTCTATCTAATTGTTGAGAATCAGCAGTTTTACACCAATATATATATATATATATTTATTTATATTACACGATGTTAATGTACATTAATTGCGTAGCTACGGCGGAAAGGTGAAGGGGGCAAAGAGAAGATAAGGGGGAGAAAAGGTAAAGGGTAGGATCAAGGGCGTAAATCCAAGCTTGAGCAAAGGGGGAGGGGGGCACAATTACACAGGGGCGGATCAGCCAAGCCTGTGAATGAACGGGGACGTGTCCCCCTTGTCCCCCGGATTGACGCCCTTGGGTAGAATGAGGGATAGGACAAGAAAATTGATATGATCCCGCACCCTTCCAAATTGATATCCTTCTTATTTCGGACGATATTCACCGAACAAGGGCGCCTTCCCCATGGTTCTAGTGCCCCGAATTTACTGAACGCCACTGTTGAATATAGCTGAAGAGGTAATAGTTTTATTAAAGCACACTTACAGTTTCCGTAACCGAAAAAGTCCGATAAAGACGCCTGCTGGAAGGTAGCTGAGCTGAGTGGAGCTTAGATCCCTGTAAAGACGAACCAAATCAAGTTCTGCACAATTTAGCAACTAGCATATACATAGTCATTTATAATTAAAAGTAAACAACATGTTATGATAGTATAATAACATAATAATAATTATTACAATAATAATAATAGTAGTAATAATAATAATAATAACAATAATAATAATAGAAATAATAATAATAATAATAAAAACAATACAAAATTATAATTATTTTGTTTACACAGAAAAGCCTCATCACATATTGCTCCGGTTGTCTCATTTCGCTCGCTGGACGTATATAGCAGACGACAATCGGCGGATTAGACGACACTTGGTAGTAAATTTGTATGTGAGATTGCTTTGCTAAATATAGAATACAAGAACATTTTCGATATTTTTGAACTATCATTGATATCTGATAATTAAACAGTTACTAAAATAAACCTACCAAACTACATAATACAATGAAATACTTGACTTGAAGTAGGGGAGTTTGATGTGGTGCACAATTGCACCCCTCTGTAAATAATCGAATAGTCCATGGCAATCATGATTTTCATGTTTTTGCTTACCTCTGCAAAATGTTTGCTTATCTTCAATGGACAAATTACGGTGGGGGTTGGCTGAAATGGACATAATGAACCGATCAGAACTTATCTATTATAATCCATGCTTCTTATCCTTCGTGTGCTTGTCCTAAAACCTTACTGACCCCAAAGTTTGACTTGTTTCACATGTGTATTATAGGCAATGGCGAGCTTGCAACCTATTTTGATCAAATAAGGGTGGGTGAACTTTCAAAAGTCAATGGGACATGAGGGTTCCCATGAAAGAGCTAGTGATAACGTACGTCGGGGTGGACGTGCTCGTCGTTTAAACAAAAAATGAATTTTTAACGATTTTGGGGGGTAAAATTCCATAGGCTAAATGTTAGGCTGCTGACTCTGAAGATAGGGGGCGTTGTGAAATGAGACTAAACGGAGCGATATGTTTAAAAGATAATACTTATTTATAAATATCCTAGAAAGAGGGGGGCTTTAAAATATCTCTTAAGTTGGAAAATAACGACTATTAGTTTTCGAATCGACTTAAGTGCTACCAAGTCAGTAATCGTCTGATTTTCAGACCATTGTACCGAATGGTCGTACGTTTTGTGCTGCGCAAAGATTTAATCAGTTTAATTTTTTCCATTACAAGAAGTGGGTTATTGATGTACTAGACAAACGCTCACGTACCCTTTACAGCTCATTTTATGTATGTTATTACCAAAGAAGAAAAAAGCCAGTCAGTCACTCAATAGTGTCTGACAGTGAAGTCTAGCAAGAAAACGGGTTTCCTTGCATACTTTGAATATTAGGACACTGCTAACGTTTCAATTTCACAGATAGGACATACATAACATATTCATAATTCCTGCAAAGTTCTGCAGAATTTGATATTGGCTGCAATAGTTGTATGTTATTCAATTCAACTCAAATTGTATTGATTGGAATCCAAACAAATAGGATGATAAGAGTAGAGGGAAACCCCAGTCCACCTGACACCCAAAATCACTTATGCCGGTGGATGAGACCCGAGGGTTACAGTGATTCAGTTCGCTTTTCACCTCCAAGGCACAGGTGACGCCAAATACTTTCTTCAATTCAATTCAAAACAACTCTCATTTATTTCATTCTCGCTTAAAACATACATTGATAAAAAAGATACAAAATAATTCTTAAACAAATCGAGGAAATGAAAAATCGAGAACTACATAAATAAAGCCCTTAGGGCTTGTACAAGCTTAGTTCCCAAAGCATGTATAGCTTAATGTAAAACAAAGAAGAAAAAAAAATATATATTAAAACAAAATTTAAAAACACATATAACACAAATATAAACAAATATAAACAAAAAATAAATAACTGTACATATTTGAGATAAAGAAACTGCCTCAACTTTTTTTTGAAAGAATTAACAGACTTGCATTCAGGGATATCTTTGGGGATAGAGTTTCAAATCACAGGAAAGTTATGTCATACTGATTTCATTACCTAATTTGTTTTTGATTTGATTTGATTTTAATTCATGTATTGGTTTCTGCATTATTTTTCTTCTTTTCATCATACATTTTCATGAACATAACATGGCCATTAGTGCACAGAATCTTTAAGACGGGTATTGTCATTATGTATCATTCTGGTAATTAAGAGTGAACATCTGAAAAATGTTAACAGGTAATTCATTTTGAAAGTAAAAGAAACCAAGGAGGGCAATGGAGTTATAGTACAAATCAAAAATATTAAGAGATTTCAATTTTCTAAACAGTGGGGCAGAATGGGCACGATAATGACATCCCAGGCATATGCGAAGGGCTTTTTTTTTGCAATTTCAATAATTTGTCTAATTTAGTTCGAGTACAATTGCCCAATTACCGCGAACAGCAACACAATAATAAATTGAAATATGAGAGCATGAACAAATCATAAAGCAGTATTAATGCTGAAGGTGGAAGCGAGTCTTTTAATCTGTGTAATATACCAATACATTAAGAGATACCTTTTGAGTGACTTTATTGACATGAGTGTCCCATCGCATATTATAATCAATATAAACACCAAGAAAATTAACACTTTTAACCTTATTTAACGGAACCTCCTTTTTTTGATAAACAAAGTGTCAAGCAAATTAGTGGAAATTGACTGCCTATGGAAGAAAGTAATGTAATTTGTTTTCTAGGATTTATCAACAATCTATTTGATTTGAACCACTTTGTTACTTTGGCTAATTCAGTGTTGATATTATTTTGTAATGCTATGGTCACAACTCAGAGCAGCATCGTCGCTCTGATAGTGGTATCGTCAGCGACATAATGTGAATAAATTTGTCAGAGGAATATGTTATATCATTAATGTAAATAAAAAACAGTAGAGAACCTAAAATAGAACCTTGCGGTACGCCGTGTGTAATAGAAGAAAAATTTGAAGAATTGTTATTATTAACTACATATTGAGATCTATTATAAAGATAACTTTAAAACCAAGATAGTGGTAAGCTCCTAGTCCCATTGTGTTCTAATTTGGACAAAAGTGATTAACAATATCAAAGGCTTTAGAAAGGTCCATGAAAATTCCAATGCAAAATTTATTGGTATGAATTGCGAACAAAAATTTATCTTGTAATTCTATCAAAACATGCGTAGTACAGTGATTTTTCCTAAAGCCATATTGGGAGTCCGTGATAATTTTGGTGTTAAAACAATATAATCGGTTATAGACACATTTTTCTAACAACTTTGATATAGACGGCAGAATAGATGTGGGCCTATAATTATCAAAGTTATAAAGGTCATCTTTTTTAAATTCAGGGATTAGTTTAGCTATTTTTAATTTATCTGGGACTAAGCCTGTAGAAAGAGAGCTCCTGGCTGTACAATACACAATATTGTTTTTCTTCATTAAGTTAGTACTAAGATTATCTAATCCAACAGAATTACTGTTTTGTAATGAATTAATAATCTGTATAACTTTATTTTCTGTTATAGGAAGAAATAGAAGAAATATTAAAAGAAATAGAATCGTTGATAAAACCAGTTAGATGCTCCTAAGAAGAAGTATCGTTAGGAGAGACTGACCATTCATGTGGTTATCCGTCTGCAACAGCTTATAAAATATTGATTGAATTCAGTTGCTATATGTTGTGGATCACAATCCTTTTTAGTTCCATTAAAATTGTACTCAGGTAAACAAAATTTAGGCTTATTTAGTAATGAGTATATAACTGACCAAGTCAGTTCAGTATTATTTGTATATGCCTTTAATCTGTTAAAAGAATATTATTTTTCGAATGCTTTAACAGATTATTCAATTTATTTCTATATTTTTTGTATATTGTTATTATCCACTGTATTGTTTTAGAGAAAGTGTTTATAATAACGATTTTTCTTCTTCATGCATCTTAACAAATACTCTGATATCAAAGGTTTTTTCATGTCTCTTTTTATTATGTTTAGTTATTGACAAAGGACTATATTAGTCAAACAATTGAGTAAAACGGTTAATAACAAAGGAATATGCGTCATTAGCATTTCCAAATTATGAAGATTAGTCCACTCTTCATGATAAAGATCATATTGAAAATTTCTTATATTATCATTTGAGTATTTACGAGTAAAGCGAATTGAGCTACGTTGATTAGTATTAATATTAGAGCTTTTAGAGACTAGAAAAATGGGTAAGTGGTCACTAACATCTGAACACTAACTACCTGAGTCAAAATCTCAATCAAAGATATTGGTGAATACATTAAAGTGTAGCACTGCTTGGTGTGATACGAGTTGGTTTTTTATAATCTGGAATATACCAAGTTCAGATTCTAATAATTATAATAATACATCTAATAATAACGATAATGATAACAAACAAACGAACAAACTTACAGTGTATGGGCATTGTTGAGTCCTGAGAAAGCGCCCTTCATCAGATGACGGACGGGGGCGCCATCAAGATCTCTACAATAAATATATGATGATAATAACAATAATACTTAATAACAATAATTATTATTGAATGTTCAAGAGGAGGGACGGTCAAACTCAGTCAAAATAATGTTTGAGTGATGAGGAAAGAAGTAAGATATTTTTTGTCATCTACAGGAGACTTTTAAAAAACATTTCATACAGACATATCGATGAACATATAAAAATAAGAAATTGTTTTCTTAATCTTTACCAGCATTCTATGACTGTTTAATTGGTGTTTACGTTGCGATGCCTGTCCCCTCTTCTTCTTTTCTTGTCACTTCTCTCCCTCTCCCTCTTTATTTCTTTTTCTTTTCTCGCTCACTTTCTCTGCGTCTGTCTGTCTCTCTCACACACACACACACACACACACACGCGCGCGCGAGCACACAAACATACAAACACACACACACACACACGTGCGCGCGCATCCACCCACACAAATACACACACACACACACACTTTCTCTCTCTGTCTCTTCCCCCTCCATATATGATTGTTTATCCCTACAATTCCTTCAATCCAACGATCACAAAGACTTCCGAAAAGTCACTCAAAGTCAACTTTAATAGCCTCATCTATCACCTTGAAATGTGCCAATGACATATATTACTCGATCCGACCTTGGTTTCTGAAGGCAATACAGGAGGGTAATCAAATTGCTCTTAATTTTATTTCTTGAAAAGTCTTTGCCATCGTTTTATTCTACTTCATTTACATAATTATAGCCTTTGGCGCTGTTGCATTCGCGTAGTCTTCATTCCAGCCGTCCGTGCATTTCACCCAAAAAGGCAACCAGTCGGGATCGCCGCAGCGAGGTTCAGTAAGTGGAGGGTCGATCCCGACGTACTGCTGAGACTCGCCGCAAGAACAATTAGCCGGGCAACGCAGTATCTCTGTATATAGATAAATATTGAGTGGTACTACAAAAATGGAGAATAGCAGAGATTACAGAAAAGAATACGAAACAGGTATTATTGATTTTATTATTGTTGACTTACAGCGTACAGCCATATAATGACCCCCAAAAAAAAAATATTAAAAAAATAAATAAATAAATAAAATAAACACACACACACAAAAAAAATGTTTACCGTGAAAATTCATGACTTCTTCGAACCCCCACTTTAAGACAAAAATGAAAGAGTCAGTTTCCCACATTCTTTTTATAAGGTTAAATCGTGATATTTCAATATAGGAAAATATGCATTTGTATAACTTTCTTTGGTAAGACGCGAATATAGACCCTGGAACGGGTTTAACATTCAGCAAAATGCAGGCCATTGTGTATTAACATCTTACCACCCCGCCCCCCCCCCCCCCCACTCAGTGTTATTTAGGGTACGCATATGCTCGTTCCCTCTTTTTGAAAGCACCCCCTATCTGTGGACTGCCAACATTTCCGAACCCCCCTTTCGCGGGCTTTTCGCGGGCTTTTCCTGACCTTAAGACCCCCCCCCCCCCCCTAAATCAGGAAAAGGGCTCAATAAACCCCCCTAAATTCGGAATAATTTCTCAGGAGTCCAAAGAGATGAGAGAAAAAACGAAAAAACACCCCCTTTTTAAAGAAATCTCCGGGTGAAAAGTCAAATACACCCCTTTTTTTACAATTCTCGGGCCGGACTTTGTCGCACGAAAAGTACCCCTTTATCGGACATTTTGGCAACCCGCATGCGGTCATTCCGACCTCTGAGTGGGGGGGGGGGGCGGGCTTACCACAAAACATCTCATCGTCTTTGTGTGGGCAATCAATCCTTCCATCGCATTGCAATCTGGGAAGGAGGCAAATATCACTTCCGTTGCATTGGTATGCGCCGGGACTGCATTCTGGGTATTATTACAGAGAAATAGGAAAGAAAACAGAACTTAAATTAGGATCACTAAGTCACAGTAGGATTCATGTTGGTATTTGTTTAATCCTGCAAATCCAAGAAGTTTAAGTTCCCCCACCCCCTGATTTGTCGAATTCCCATTCATTTAAAATTGCCTTTAACACAACTCTGAATAGGCCTATTTTACTTTATTTCTCTTCTTTATTTTGTCCACCCTTCACTAATCATTTTCTTGCACAAATCGATTTTTTGCACAGTTTATAAAAGGGTTAACAAAATATCCACGCATACTAGTCTTGTTTAAAGGCGAACTTTTTCATCCTTCACATCATCCTTCACATGTTTTCAAAAATTTTACAAATTTTTAATCTAGTGAAAACAAATTATGACCTGACAGAAATTTCATTTTCAATGGGTATATCAAGTTTTCGATTCCTTTTGTGGACCCAGAATCTATATCTGATCATGACTTGTGTTCAAACTCATTATGTATGCATGATGCCGAAACATAAGCATAAGAACTAAATAGATATAGAACAAATATCATTAAAATACACGCTATTATTTAACTGTTGTTTGACAACTATATTTCTCGAACAATATCCCTTCTTTATTTTAGAAAGAGTTTTCCATAAATACCGTCACATCCAATTTCATCTGAGAAGTCAGGGCAGTCAACAATCCCATCACATCTTGCACTGACCCGGATGTATTGATGACCAGAGTGACAGTAGAAATCCTCTCCCGTTGTGTCAACCATTGGTGTTTCTATAGACATAACCAAGCACGAGCGGAAATACTAGTACATGTAGATAAAACATTGATCATGTCTTTTTGTGCAGGCGCGATGGCTTAGTGGTTAAGCAATGGTCTCGTAACCGGGATATCCCGGGTTCGAAACTAAGTCGATATGCTAGTGCCCTTTGGAGAGGCGTTAATCCTCATTATCAAGTCACTTGGAGAGATCTCAAAGCCGTTGGTTCCCTGGTTGCTTATTTACGAGCAAACACATGTTTTATCAACGGTCAGGTCAAACAAACCATAAACCCGTGTGTATAAGTGAGAATTTAATTTATTCGTGATCAGCAGTGGTGAACCGGGCCGGGGGGGGGGGGGGGGGGGGCATGAGGACTTCGTACCCCTAATTGAACGGAAAGAAAAGAGAAGGAAACAGGAAAACGGGGAAAGGGGAAGGGCAGATGAAAAGTAGACACTCTATAGCTCCTTCCTAGTTAGTCCAGAATCTGGCCTATTTCATTTTGATCTCCACCACACCAATGCTTCTTCTCCCTACTTATTTGCTACCAGCCGATGATGGCGTGAGCTCAGGCTGGGCTGGTGAGCATAATTATGAGTTTGTTGATAACGCCATCTTCGACGGCTTGAATCAAGTGTTTAGGGAAATTATAAAGGACCGTGCAGATTCTGGACTACTTCCTAGCTAGTAGGTATTTAATCATGCAAAAGACATGCACCCGTGCTCTTACCATTGGTATCTATATCGTATGACGTAAACTCCATGACAAAGCCCCGGTGCTGCTCAATGACGTCACTACAGAAGCTGACCACCGTAGATCCTCCCGGTAGGATAAGTGACGTCACAGAACTACTAGGCAATGAGAGGTTCGTAGCAGTCATCCCATCAGTTGACACGTGATGAATATGCACCGTATCCCAGATATGTTCAATATCTAGTATTTTGACGTCAATCACTACCTGCGCACAAATTAAAATCACGTGCTTGTTTAAATCATTCATTTCGCCAAGCCTAATCTTTAGACATTTTAAATAATAAGTTATTACAGTGCTTATATAGCGCCTAACACTTACTTTGTCAAAAGTCTATAAGCGCTCTACAATAATGCAGCATAATAAGTGATATTATTATGTACTAGATTTTAATAAAACGATTGTATAGATGATATGCCTATCATTATACATCATGACCATTACTGATAACTGCTGCACGCATGGGGGCGCGTATGAGGGGGGGGGGGGTGGGGGTGGGGAGATGCCTTTAGCCCGCACATCATTTCGCCGTTCTATCATTCAATATGTCACAAAAAAATTCTCAGAAAATATGATAATTACTAACAGACCTAAAAGCTGTCGATTAGAGCACGCAGGTTGCAGGAATAATAAGAATTTCGAAATTGGAGGATGGGGGATGATGCAGCCCTCAGCCCCTACTACTTACGACTATGGTTTCACAACAGGCAAAGCTGATTTGTGCAATGATGAATTTGTTCTTAAAGCTGCACGTGACCAGAATCCCGAAAAGTAAGGTAAATGATATGACGAGTGTGTAAACTTCAGGTTGCGGTTGGTATACCCCAAAATACATGTAGAGGATTAGCTGTAGAAGACGTTTTGAAGCTCTTCCTCTTAAACTCATCGAAGTGAGTGATCAGCAATACAATATATGCTTCGGGCATGTAGATACGACTTATCTTATAACAATGAGACTCTTAGTCTCTCATAACTATTTTGTGTTCAATGTATTTTCAGATACTCCACTCCAAAACGAAGGATTAATTATCTCGTGGAGGGCCGTCTCTATTCAAAATTTAGATTTGGTTTTATTTATTTATTCTCCGAATTTTCAGGAGCAAAAAAAAAATAATGTGCTCTTATAACACCTTTTTGTTCCATAAAACATCAATCATATTGATGTGAAATAATCAGTACAATGGAACAGCCGCGCGCCACCCCGATTGACCGCGAGCGCCAGAAGGCCTTATCTAGTTGTTAAAGATTTCCAGCCTAAGCGAGAATGTAATTCCCTGATTGACACATGCCTGCAGGGACTTATTCCAAGTATGATTCGACATGCCCTGTTTTGAAGTTTCTGTAAAGAGTTGACATGTTTAGCACAGGCTGTTCCATATATTAGTAAAAAAAAAAAAAAAACCATAGTAAAAAAAATAGGAAGAAAAATGGCAGTATACATAATTTTCATACTAGATAGATCAATGATATGACGCAATCGAACTAATACGCGTATGAAATTACTTATCCTAGAACACATAGCATCAATATGCAAATTCCACTTGAAACTCGGATCTAACAACATACCAAAATACTTCGTACATTAAACATGACATATGTTTACCCATTTACATTCAAGTTCAGCTGGCTACATTTAGTAAACATTCCGTTTGAGCAAAATAACATGCTTACTGCTTTCTCACAATTGAGGCTCAATTTGGGGTTACACAACCAATTAAATATTCTACGAAGTTCAGAATTTAATACGGACACTATTGTTTCTGTGTAAGAGATACATTACTGTTTCATCAGCATTTAAGGGAACAGAGCATTTCTTTAGATGTTTTACAATTTCATCAATGTAAATTATAAACATCGGGTCCAACATAGATAATTGGGGAACCCCGTAATCTATATTCGACTCTGATGATGTAGATGAGCTAAATTTGGTACATATACGACGACCTTTTAAGTAACTAGGAAACCATGATAAACAATCAGTTGATACACCACCCAGCATGCGCGTACGCAGGCGGGGGGTTGAACCCCCCTTCATTTTTGTATGTGTATTTGGAGCAAACCACCAACCCCCCCCCCCCCCCCCCCCCCCCCCCCCCCCCCCACCCCCTTTTATGTGTGTGTTGTTTTTTTGTTTTTGTTTTTTTATTTAAAAAATAAAATAAAATTATGCCACTCGCTGACCTAAAAAAGGTGGACGACTGGCCGAGTCGTTGCGATTTTTTTTGTCCTGAAATTTGAACACTTGACCGATCGATAATTCGTTCCGTTGGTGGGGAGGGGGGCGGGGGGCGGGGGGGGCGGGGGGAGGTCACCTTTTTTGGTCACCCCTAAGCACAACAAAAACCTGAGGGGGTGGGGGTTTCCTCCAAAACACACACACACTTTTTTTTTAGGGGGAGTTCAATCCCCAACCCTCCCCCTTGCGTATGCGCCTGAATCTTTGTCACATAGTAAGCTCATGAACCGGCTCTGTAGTCATCTCATGTACAGCCTAATTGGCTCGTAGATTATAGGTCGTTTTCCAGAATGTTCGTTATTTCTGAAGGTTCGTTTTTTCGACATTTATATAGCACCCTTTATCAATGTGTTTGTTTGTTGGAAGTTTCTAAGCTTCGGAACAACGAACCCTATAATAAACGACGTAAGAGCCAAATATGAATATTGAGAGTGCATTTGCATATTAATGAGAAAACGAAATTAAGTCATTGATTTCATAATGACATGGCTTTTGTTGAATAATATAAATGGATCGTTATAGGGTTAAGATGTTGACAGATGAGGCTTAACGTACCAGTGAAACGGTTACTTTGCTTATTTTTGTAGCCCTCCTGCATCTAATGTATGTTAATTATGCATTCAATATATTGGTTTAAATTCTTTTATTAACTGTATAAAATTATATACACTTAAAATATTGTATCAAACCATATTATGTTCATGAAAATGAATGATGAAAAAAAAGAAAAAAAGATGCATAAACTAATAAATCAAATCAAATCAAATCAAATTACTCGGGGTATAAACTCGGGAAATAAAGTAAAATACGCCTTAACAAATACCGAGCGTCGAGACACACCACCTCAATACTGACAACATAATTAGAAACGATAAAAGAGTATGCCTACCATCTCATCAGGGTCGGCCACAACTTTCCACTCTATCTGGGTGTCAGAAGGATAGATACCGGGATGGTCGGGTGAGACCAGGGTTGTGATATAGGTGCCATCGTAGTCTGTGTGTAGACCGAGCGAACCTGGTCGGAGAGAGGGGAAAAGTTGAACACATAAATCGTCAACTAATGGTGAAGTAGATTGAAATGGGTTATTTTTGTCTTTATTTTCAGTGCATGAAATATAAACGATGAAATTATTTTAAAATTTACCGACAGCTACTAATCCCTCATTTATTTTCACGTAATGTTGGATATTTTCATCAGATTCCATAAAAGAGTATTGACATCATCCGGTATATATTTGTTTCTAAGTGGTCTACATTTACAACATTATGTATCATCATTGTTATAAAGATTGATGACGATGAGGATGGCATGGGTGGTGATGACAAAAATGTACATCTACATCACCATGCAAGCCGACACTTACAAGCAGCATCTTAATAAACATGAATTCATCACGTACGGAATTCACTGTTAAAATTGTAAAACAAGGACGTAAAAAATAGTTGTCTTTCGTGAAAAGCAAGAAACCTCATCACATACAATTAACCAGTCATTGAAATTGTTTTCTTCTTCATTTTTTTTTGTTTTTTGGGGGGGGGGGGAGGGGGGGAGTAATCTTTAATGCCAAACATACCATTTTATGCATTTGCAAGGATCAAAATGCGTCCCGTTGCCAGTTGGTCTTTTTCAGTTTGTTTCAGTACGCAATTCTGTATTTATTAAACTTGCCATTTTTATTTTTCTATGTCAAATGCCGTTCATTCAAATCAGGTTCTGAGCATTCTTAAACTCATTTTAAAGCCCATCTGTACTAGTTTACAGGAGGGATTAGACCACCTTGCAAGGTCACTGGAAAGGTGGTTATCTCATCAAATCAGCTCCCTGTTAACATAAGATAAAGAGAATCATGGGGGACAGGACCAATGGTCGCTGATTACGCATTGTTTGCTATATAGAGGGCGCAAGTAGCTATAAGTAGTACAATGGAGATTTAAAAGGTGCTGTATTTCAAAGCCAAAAAAAATTTCTGTGCTGGTCTTGGTATTCATTGTACTTTAAACTAGTTTTTTACCTTATGAAAGTGTTTTATAGACTTTGTTTGTTTAAATGCTTGACATCCCAATGATTTTTTTTTTTTTAAGGAAAAAAAATCATTTAAAAAAAAATGAAAAAAAGACACACAATTTTTGTTTTACTTGGCCTAAGTGATAACGAATTATATATCGTCAGAGGACAAGGACTGGGTCTCTTAGACAATAAGTCAAGAACTCCAGTATATCAAGCATACTAAAGGTATTGCAAGTTTTGGTATGGGGTCATGGGTTCAAATGAACATATTGGAACCATATGCGATTCTACATTATTCAGTGATCGTTGACGCAGTTGAAATCGAGTCTAAAGTGATGACATTGTAGATAACAAACTCTTTTCGTTGTATAGCTCGCTCTCCAGATCAAGATATTAATTTAGGTATCAAACAATGTTTCTTGTCTAAAATCGACCAATTGGCTATTCCCATTGGGACATTACGTACTACAACTATTCTGAGATTTTCATGGTCGCAGCTACCATTGTATGGCCGTAGGTGTTATTTGAAAATATCGAAATTTACCGGAGTACCGGTAAATTTTGATATTCAATTTTTCTCGAAAGCAGAAGTATTTTAGGGGCTATTTTTTTTTAATGCTTATAATACTTCACAGGGTCTTCTAAATATTTCAAAATTGTAAAAAATCACTATCAAGCCAATTTTCAAAATTTCCCAAAACTTTGTATCACCTTTAATGATAAGAATCGTTGGTAAAATAATTTAAATACTTGTATTTCTTCATAGCCGCATTTAATATTTGAATAACAAAAGAAAACTATTGTCTTGTTTTTTAACATTTACCATGTTCAGTGGCGCAGCT